AATAACTTAATCCACGAGCTAGAAACCCACACCATTAGTTCGACAAGAACCGGCACCCAAACAACCTTGGAGTAACCGAGCTCCTCGCCTACTCAAGTTAAAACTTACACAACCCTCAATGCCGTGACAAGTACCCCACCGTACTAGCAATTATCCCATACTCGACTGCAAGCATGCATAAAAGTACATAGGTATACATACAAGACATATTTATATATATATATACACAAAATAACTAGAACGTAACCCTTGACACAACCATGTCCTATTACATTAGTTTAAACAACGAGTTCATTAAAATATTATGTGAAATTAATTATCCCTTCTATTCTCATTATCATTTCGCATACTACACACTTGCACAATCCATACTCACAGCTCACCATTAACATACTCCTCATATTTATCATCATATCGAAATCAATATGCTTTCAATCATTATCATGGTAGTAGCATATCTTATTTTAAACACATAAACATGTGATCACATAGGCAAATAAGCAAGTAAGCAAGTAAGCATGCTTTCCAAAATCGTAAACACATAAGTAATTAAACAAATAAGCATTATTCTCAAATAACAACCATTTTAACACATAGGCATATAAACAACACAATTCAACTTCCCCATGCAATCCTAGGTAGGCCTTTACCCATCATCCTAGTGGTTTTCGAACCATTATTCTGATACCAAATTTGTAACGTCTCGAACCCGTAGGTCCGAACCGTTAGCCGGGTTCTTAACCGAACCCAAGGTCAACTAGGAACAACACCATTCTTTCCTACGTCAATACATATTATACGTGTCATTTCGGGTTTATAAAAAAAATAAGTAATAATAAATAAATAAATGATAATAATAAAATAAGATTATAGCTACAAAGTATGTTAAAACGGTCTACTAACCCATCGAACCCTGTGGAGGAGCGTCGTCCGCCACTTGCCATCAGTGTCTTGAAAAATATTAAATGTAATGGGGTGAGCAAATTATTCAATAGGTAGTGCCTAAGACCCACCTCTTGTAGCTCCGTGAATCCAAACAATGAATAGGACAATAGGGAACGAGGTCATACAAAGCTAGGAACAAATACAATTTACACTTTCAAGTCCAAAACAAAAGAATGTCGTGCCATGAATGCAATATCATGCATGTCACTTCCCATTTCAGAAAACATCCATCACTTCACAAACTGTTAATATAACCCATCCTTTGGTGACTCCGCAGCGACACGAGAGAAGGATTGGCTACTGTCTCTGACCCTTAGTACCCATGCGGCTTCATTTTGGGCCCAGATAGCTTAACCACGCTAGGGCAATTTCCCTAGTTCCCTCTAGGCTATATTAACACACCAGCCCTTTGGTGACTCCGTGGCAACCGGATTTTCTCAAAACCATTTTCTCAAATTTCTCCCCAAAATCCCCTTTTTAATTTCATTTCACAACACTTCCCTTTTTTTTTCATGCCCAATGTTTGTATGCATATCACATATCTTTTTAATACTATGGAAATTGAGAGAATTATTATCACACAATTAACATGCTTTCATATAAAATTTCTAATAAATTATTAAGCATCATAGGCATAGAAAATTAACACATTAAGCATACTTTCCAAGTAAATCAACAAATACACATAATTACATGGTTCATATACTCAATTAAATCATCTAAGAAACAATCAATTCAATTTAATCATGCTTGATAACAATTAAAATAGTTTAACTCACAAAGGAACAAGAATTTGAGTATTAGAGACCCTACCTCAATCTAAGCCAAAAGCCCCAATTTGTGCCCTAGATCCCAAACCTCCTGGAGTGCACCAAACACAAAATTGCTCCGATAAATTTATAGATCTCGTCGTGAGCTTCAATTTGCCGCAAATGGCACTCAAAAATTCCGAGGATTGGAGGAGAAATCAAACTTCAAAGTTTGAGAGAAAAAGAGAGAGCAGCGGGAGAGAATGAGAGAAATGAGACTAGAAATGGTCTCTTGACCATTGAAAATAAAGGAAAAGTGGGCCCCACCATTTTCTTTTTAGTTTCCCTTTTTCTTTTACTTTAATTTATACCACACATAAACATATATACATATACACACATAATAATTTACAATCACATAAAATATATTAAATAGAATGCCTGAAATGCTAATGGACCCGATAAAAATCCCCGTATGCAAAAATTCCGATAACGGGTCCTATACTGGGACCGTCCGGTCTGAAAAACTGAAAAATACCAAAATGATCACCCTTGCGTTTCAAAGAGTCCTAGACTCAACGAAATGTCCCAAACAACTCTAGGACACAACCAGCACACTCTACAGTGTCCGACACGCAAAACGACAAAAGACAAAAATGCCATTGCAACTACAAAATTCCAGAAAAATGAAAAATGGTGAAAATCGGAAACATCACATCCATACCATGGTATTCCAAAATGGGAAGTTGTCCAATATTTCTATGAAAGCCTATCCGACATTCATAAGGACATTGTTGATATTTCATGTGGGGGTTCATATTTTGGGAAACATGAGGATGATGTTTGGCACCTTTTAAAAAAAAATGAGTGAAAACTCTTTGCATAAGTATCACACTTGTCGGTTGGGTCATAATTCTAATGAAAGGAAGAAAAATGTAAAAGTGTGTCAAATTGAAAGTCCAATGAAAATTGTAGCCGAGGTTAAAACTCTTTCTAAAAAAACTTGATAATTTTTTATTGACCGAAAAACCGGTTACAAAGTCATCTCCTTTTCGTCACTCTTATCAGTCTTGTGAGCCTTGCATGACTTGTTCTAGTGTTCTACCTTCTACTTCCAAATGTCCTCATGGACATGTGTTTAATGAACACTTTGAACAAGTTAATGCTACATTTGCTCACCCTTATTCAAATGTTTATGTTCCGGTGTGGAATGAAAGTTCAAGTCCTTGTCAAGCTAAACATTTTCAAAGTAAATATGTCCCACCTCATAAAAGGAATAAAAGTTTCCAAGGATTCGCTTCTTTTTTTTTTTTTCATAAATGTGGTTGTATAAAAAAAAAAGGGAAATTATGTACAAAGGCACAGAGAGGGCATACCCTCAGAAAAAAGAAAACAACTAATAGAGAACTGGATACAAATCTCAGCAGCTCCTATAACAGAAAAACAAAAACAAAAGAAAATAAGACCACTTTCTAGACTAAAACCACTAAGGCTGTCAAGTCTGAAAGAAGGATGTTGTGAGTATCCAGTACTTCGAGCAACAAATTCTTTGCTACAACCTCAGGAGTAGAATCAGTTCCATAAATTCTAGCATTTCTCTCTTGCCAAATCCCCCAAATCCCAGCTGCAAACAAGGTTCTATGAATCCGTAAAGTTGATAAATCTTGAAACCAAAGCAACAAATCAGTAAGAGTTTCAACAACTCTAAACTGCTGTATATTCCACTTTAATATATCTCCTAACCATCTCCAAAAAACTTGAGAAAATATACAACCAATAAAGATATGATCTATTGTATCAACAGCTCTTCGACACAAAGAACATCTAGGCACTAAACAAACCTTCCTCTTTTGAAGATTCACCATTGAAGGAATACGATTTTGCATCACAAAAACTGTAGTAACAGACCATCGTGGCCTTGCATGACCCCAACAGTAACTAAACCAGTTAACTTCAGCTGCAGGAACTCTACACACTTGCCAAGCTTTTTTGAAGGAGAACTTGGCATTATCCCATAACAACTTATCCTCAGTATTATGAATAGGAACTTGCAAAAGAAATTCTCTGAATTGTTGTAAAACAGGTCCCTGAAGAATACTTACATTCCATCTTCCATTATCCATTAAACTATCTAGAGAAGCACTCTGAGGAACATTTAAAGATCTAAAAACTCTATGTCCAAACTTATGAGCAATTGTCTCACCATCACACCAATGATCCCGCAGACAAACTGATCGACCATTCCCAATATGAAAAGTAACATACTGGAGCATTATATCTCTCATCTCCAACACAGATTGCCAAATAACTGAATGAGTACTCTGAGGAATAATAGACCAGTAAGAGACTTGAGGAGTGTGATGCGACCTGAGTGTGTGCACAAAATAATGCACAACACTTTGGTTTTGGAAATGGTATCAAGCGGGCATCATAGTTTACATTTGTAAACCGCTAGACACTTATACTATGTAGTATGAAGTGAGAAGGGATCGAACCCAAGGGATTGAACACGTGTTGGGACTAAACTTGATTTTAATGCTAATTAGATTGTAAAAGAGAGAAGAGAAAGAGTGTGAGAGAAAAATATTTTGGTGGAGTGATTAAACTAAAATTCAATTAAAAGCATGAAAATAGAAATGACATTAAACTAAGAATTAAAGAGATAGGAAGAGAGTCTTAGGGTTAGGATTCACCACTAAGCCCATGCAATTAACCATATGCTTTCAATTAATGGGGAATTTATTAGTGTAATTATAGATGTGGTCACATTATCATCACAAATCACAATTATAAGCATAGATTATCAACATCAAGAATGAATTGTCTACCTAATGATAATTAAACTAAAGTGTAGAACCCATTCAAGACTACGTCATAACCCACCATACACATTCACAAATGTATCCAATAAGAGCACACATCAATCAAGAAGATAATACTAATTGTAATTAGAAGCATGGATTAAAATAATCAAGCATAGATTGCCTACTTTACTACAATTAACTAATGACAAATAAGCTAATTTGTAAAACAATCTATTATGATTAAGCCTTTATCCATCAAATTAATTGACAATTGTATCAACTAAGTTTCATGCTATGGCCATCACTAAACACAACTAAAAGAAGTATCTAGTGTAGAGTATAATTCTAAATCAATCACACCTAGACATGCAATTTTCATATAGAATCAATGGAAGAATTAAATTCTAATCATCTAATGAAGAATAAAATCCCTAATTAATCATACATAGACATACAATCAATTGGAGATTTCAATGGAAGAATTTATCAATACAAACCCTAATTTATCAAATCAAGCATGTATATATTAAGAAATCGCAAGGCCATACAATTTAATTACAACATAATAATTCCCCAAGAAAAGAAATACAAAGGTTAGGGTTACATGAACTTAGGGCTCATCCAAGCCCTAAGTGAAGAACTAGCTCATGGAGGAGATGATCATGGTGTCAACAAGTCCTATCTCCATCTTTTGGCCCTTCTTCTTCTTCCTTCAACTGTAGACAAAGCCTCTGTAAAAAAAAATATTCTTGAAACCCTCGCTTTTTTTTCTTCCTTTCGTTTTCTTCCAGAGAGAACGATATCACGATACAGATTCAAAATAATAATCAAAACTTAATTCCCCAAATAATAAATCACTTAACTAATAAATACTAACCCTAAAAACAATGGGCCTCACTGGGCTTAAGTAATAAACCTATTAAAGCCCACTAGGTTACAAAATAAGCCCAAACATTAAAATAAAAATATGCAATGTTGCCAAGTCCTGGGGGATTGATCCCCCACCCTGGGGGATCGATCCCCCAGAGTTGGAAAATTCCTTTAAGCCTTATTCAGCTCCATTTTTGCCCTGGGCTATTTGGTTTGCTTCTCCATCTTTGGGAACATCATCAAAGGCCCGAGATTGACCGCTTTATGCCATTTTCTGAAAATCTTTGCTTAACTCCAAAAAGGCTTAATTGGACCGTTCTTAGCTCATTTTAACTTTATTGCCCTGAAATACACATAAACATAAATTAGGACTAAAACATAAACTTAAGATAGATGCAAAGACTGAAATACCCTAACTTAGGTGCTGAAATGTGCAACATTTAAGCACTTATCACACCCCCAAACTTAGATATTGCTAGTCCCTAGCAATGAACTACAACATGGAAATGAAACAAACATATATACAACTATGAACTAATTAAGCAAATAAAGATAACACCACTTTCGTAGGGATCACGGTTGCATTTAGCATATGCAACAAGCCTTTTAAACCCCTAGGTTACCCCTAGTGGACGAGTGAAGTCTCGTGAAGGTTTTCAGAAATGGTACCCACAAACATTAACAGCTCTTTCTTACTTGAGAAGTAACGACACATACCAAATAAGTGTTTAAAGTAGACTACTTCAAGTATGCAAATTTCTGCCATTTCTAAGCTATTCTCAATATTTCAACATCATGTAAGCAAAAATGGTCATCCACACATCAAGCAAGTTAATCATGCAAATTGAATCAATTTTATCATCCTTTTTTAGTGAACCGGCATCAAAATGTGTTGCTATCCTAGCAAATCAAAGTAATGGCATAGCCTTACCCTCAAACTAGCATACAGATATAGTACCAGACATCAAGACATTGAATGAACCTTGTTATTCAATCAAACATTTTTATTTTATTTTATTTGATTTCATCAATTTTATATATATATATGTATGACCATGTGCAATGTCCAAGTTCCTTAAGCTCTCTACTCACCCCATGTAACAAGCGTTGAGCCAACGACTCCCAAACCAGATGGTCTTAGGGCGTTAAGTGTAAAGACACTCCTAAGGGCGTAATGACTCGGAATGACTAGGCTACGAACTCAAACTAATCATACATCTTACATTCTTTCCTTGTCTTCCTTTTTAATCAGTTGACATGTTGAAAGAATGCAGTTTTTTTTTTTTTTTTTTTTTTTTTTTTTATTTTTTCTTTGCAAGGTCATTTTATCAAGAATGAAAGCTTCCAAAGCATACTAGCTCAATTGGGATAAACCAAGACAATAATCAACTAAGCATGTACCCCACAAATTGAATGCTAGTGTGCGCAAGTGCAAGTGTAGAATTCTAGAATCAACTCTCAAAGCATTTTCAACCAACAAGATGATGTGTACCACAAGACCAAACATGATATCAAAAATTAAAAATTTACCCCTAAATGGCATCCTAGAGCATACAAGAAGTATTAGACTTTAACAACTTATTTTTTAAAAATACTATGCTTCAAAAGTTCAAAATCATTGCCAAATACATCTCAAATCTCAATCATGCATTTAAAGCTCAACTTAAAGTAGAATGTAACAAGGCTACCTTACCCCCAAACTTAAACTGCACATTGTCCTCAATGTGCAATGAGAACAATGAAAGAAATGGAAAGAGTATACCGTGATAGCAAAAGTTAATGACGCCCGGTAATGATCCATGACGAAAGAGGTCTCCCCTAAACTTGGATGCAAAAACCTACTAGAAAAGCCACACTAGCAACTCACATCAAATATCAAATGGGATAAGTAAAGCATACATTCTAAAACAATATAGAATAAGATGTAAAGAGATATGATATCAAGTCCTTTGTAAAAGATGAAAACATGCATAACTAAGCAGAAGGGCATAACGGGAACACATATTTTTGAAATTTTTTATTTTTTATTATTATTTTTTTTTTGTTTGCTTTGTTTTGTTTTTTTTTTTTTTAATTTTATTTTAAAAGAAATAAAGAAAAAAAACATGTATATACAACCTAGAAAATAAATAAATAAATAAATAATGGGCTAAGTTTAACGTCTCTAGCAAGACGGAATGATACTTTGCAAAAAATCTGAACAGCTTAAAACAGACAAAAGAAATCATGCATCAGGTGGCAATGTGGAAGTGCGTGGGAGACTCGATGAAACAATCTCATATAGATCTCGTAGCATGCGCTGGGTAGTGGTGTGCTGCTGTATAAGCTCAGCATGCTCGACTCTATGCTGCTCTCGAGATTCAGCCAACTCGGTCCTCAACTGCCCCACAATGGCATTCAACTCTGCCCTAGTCACCCCTACAGACTCCTTTGCATGTGGTGACACAGCCGGTGCTATCTCATAAGTAGCACCATCAGCAATCTGCTCCTCAGACCTCCCAACAACGTCCTCAACCAGGGTATTCACGTCCTCTTTAGTACCTGCTACCATGCCATCACCTTCCTTCTTGGCACTAGGCATATGAGAAAGGCTTAAGTTCCACTGTGCTAGCCTAAAAGTCACCCGTGGAGCCTCAGAGATCTCATCATTATCAACCACGAAGCGCCGAAGGACAAGGAGCTGCGTAATAAGATACGGAAACGGAAGTTTCCATTTTTTCGCATTTGGATCCCCACTCGCCACTAAATGCTTCCAGTATTTATGCATCTGGTTAAAGACGAAAGCTGGAACAGAAAACCATGTTCCAGTGTGGGTAGCATACAACGCTATTAAGAACTCCTGTCCCCGCTGTACCTTATGACCTATTGGAAAAACATTCCGTTTCAGAACCTGATCGAAAAACCACATATCCTTAGGTAGTGAGGACTTGCTGGCACAATTCTTCTTCTTCTTGTCACCATACTTCCCGTCACACATATCTTTAACAATAGAATGCACAGTAGGTTTTTTCAAGAATTTGCCAAAACGTAGCTCCCCATTCTCTGCTAGCAAGTCAGTGGGGCACAAATGTGGACACCCTAATGCCTGGGCTATGTCCAAGACACCAAAGTGAATTCGGACACCATCAATGGTTGTAACTAATATGTCCGGTGCATCACTAAACCATTCCATATTCTGATAAAACAGGCGCACAATACGGGGATAGACAACCTCTGCAGCTGGTCTAAAAAGGCAGGACAAACGCCTCCTTTCAAATTCTAACACCGCCCATTCAGTCGCGTCATTGTGGCGAAACGTACCTTCAATGTCGAAGGTAGTCTCAAAATCCAGACGTTTGTTGCGCCACACAACTTTGGGAGTCTCTTTGGAGGGTTTGAAACGTTTGGAAGAAGAAACACGAGTCATTTCTTAAGATTGAAATATATGGGAAGTAGTCCAAAATCAATAACCCTACTTTAATGACAAATATATTTTTTTAAATCATCAATTCAAAATTTTATGCACTTTTTTTTTTTTTTAACAACAATTCAACTGTTTTTTTTTTTTTTTAAGTCATCAATGTAAAAATAAAAAAAATAAAAAATAAAAAATAAAAAAAATGGAATCTGGAACCCAATTAACAACTCACAAACTTGCCAAAATCAGCACTTACCCACATACTTGCCGGAGAAAACCCAGTCAAAAGCCGCCGGAATTGATGAAGAAACCAAATCAAAATCTAGCCAAAATCGCTGGAGGGAACAGCCAGTTGCAACGCCGGAAAAATAAAGGGCGAGTCTCAAACAGTGCCGGAATTTAAGCCCAGCCGGAATTGCCGGAAAGAACCGCCGCGATCGCTGTTGGAAGAACCAGACGCCGGAATCGCTGAAGAAGAAGCAGTCGCAACGTCGGAGGATGAAACAGATCGCCGGTGCTAGCCGAGATCGCCGGAGAATGACCCAGCCACGAATCGTTGACGAACCCAGCCGCGAATCGCTGGAAAACGAACAGATGGGACGCCAGAAAGACGAACAGAGGCGACGCCGGAAAACGAACAGCCGCGTCGCCGGCGCAGCGAACAAGCCGACAAAATCTCTACCCAACAGCCTCAAACGCAACCCACAGTCGGCGAAATCCACAACCCAACGCCTAAACTGCAGGTGAAGCGAACAAGCCGGCGAACGAACCAACCGCGACGATGTAATCTCGGCGACCCAACAGCCGTAGACGCCAGAGAACTAAGCCAAACGCACCGAAAAAGAAAAACCAGCCACGGTGATGTAATCTCGGCGACCCAACCTCGTCGGAGAAATACAGCGATTAACACACCCGCCGGAAAGACCCAGCCGACGCTGGAAAGTTGTACAGCCGCGATCTCGGAGAAAAACCCAGCGGCGATCGCTAGCCCAGATGCGACAGAGAACGGTGAAGTAAAATCGTCGGGAAATAACCCACCACCCAACAGCGACGCCGTTGAACGACCTCTTCAACACGGCGCAAGAGAGGATCGAATAGAGAGGATAGAACAGAGAGGATCGAATAGAGAGGATGGTCGAAGAAAGCGAGGGTTTGAAGAACTTGGGTTAAGAGATTTGAGGGTTGGCAGTGAATGCAGACGAGAGAGAGATGGGAAGGCAAGCTAACGGGCTCGATCCATCAGTTAAGGGGATCGATAATTTTAGACACAAAATTGGCCCTTCACTGTGGAATGAGAAAGTGGCGACATAGGTAAAAAGGGATCGATCCACGTGATTGGGGGATCAATCTACTTGGGACATTTTTTTGTTGCTCTCTGCCAAGATGGTGATCCATCTTTTGCTTTTTCTTTTTTTTTTCTTTAATTTATTTATTTTTTAATATATACACTAAAAATAAATAAATAAAAAGAATATATACACTGAAATGAAAAATAGATAAAAATAAAAATAATAATAAATAAAAATAAAATAAAATCACTTACCAACTTAATTTTTTTTTTTTAAGTAAAACTAAAAAGAAAAATATATATACTAAAATTAAATATATATAAAAATTAAAATTAAAATAATACTACTAAAAATTAAAATAAAATCAAATACCAACTTATCCTACCTATCACAACAATTTTTTTTTTTTTTCTTTTTGAATTTAAAAATACATAAATGTACAAAAGGAAACGAAAACAAAATAATAATAAAATGCATTTTTTTTTTTTTTTTTTGAAAATTCTACGAACAACTAGTGTTTAACGTCTCTAGCAAGACGTTGGGGTGACTCACTAGTCGAAAGAATCAAAAACTGGATATGAGACATCCTCGTTGATCCGTTTATCTATTTTCCCAAATGGATCTTCTCTCGCAACAATGAATACATCTCCCAAAAGAATGATTTGGAAAGAAATGGTGAAAGATGCAATTTGTTTCCTCTCATCCACGGTTTTGAAAATAAAGTCCATAATGAGCGGCCTTGCACTTGGCAAGGTAATGTCTTTCAAAGGCTCAGTTAGATTATTAAGAAACTCAATCTCTTCATCATTTTTGTCAACTTCTACATTGATCACTTTCTCCTCCTTCACTAAGGTCGCCTCAATGACTTCATGCTCAATATTATAAGGAATGTCCTCATAAATTGGATTGGCCATTGGCGTACTTACCACTTCTTCCTCTTCTTGATAAGAAAGAGTACTTGCGATTGAAGGGAAAGGTTCTTTTGAGTTTTTCCATGGCGGGAAGTCTAAGATGGCTACGGAATCCATTAGAGAATTCACTTCATATATGGAGCTTTCAATGTCAAATGCGTCCATGTTGAAGTGAGAGAGGCATGCCTCAAGAGGATCTTCAGAAGGAATGGAAGGAATGACTTCTTCAACAATTTCATCCAAGATATTCACCATGAAACACTCGCCTTCATTGATAGGATGTTGACTCGTGTTAAACACATTAAGCTTAACCATCATATTGCCAAAAGAGATGTCCATAATGCCGGACCTACAATTGATTGTCGCATTAGCCGTGGCAAGAAATGGTCTTCCTAAAATGATGGGAATGTAAGTGGTAGGATTGGGAACCGGCTCAGTGTCAAGCACAACAAAATCAACCGGGAAATAGAATTTGTCGACTTTGATGAGGATGTCCTTAACAATTCCCCTTGGTTGTTTTGTAGACCTATCGGCGAGTTGAATAATTACCGAAGTTGGCTTAAGATTTCCCAAACCTAATTGAAGATACACGGAGTAAGGAATAACGTTAACACTAGCCCCTAAGTCAAGAAGTGCCCTTTTTACCTCATGGTTCCCTATGGTACAAGAGATGGTTGGAGCGCCAGGGTCTTTGAACTTAGGTGGGGTGCTAAGCTTAATGATAGAGCTTACTTGCTCCGTGAGAAGTACTTTCTTTGGGCTTGGTCCCTTGTTCTTCTTCTTTTGAGTACACAAGTCCTTCAAGAACTTGGCATATGGTGGAATTTGGCGAATAGCATCAAGAAGAGGAAGGTTGATTTTAACTTGTTCAAAAACTTCCATCATGTCATGGATTTTTCCTTCTTGCCTCGAAAATGGATTAGAGTTTAAAGCTTGAGGAAATGGAGCTTTTGGCTCATAAGGCTTCTCTATATGGGAGGAAGATGATGATGATGGAATTGGTTCCTTAATGTGACCATTTGATTTTAGTGAAGTAGGAATGGAATTGGGAATTGTAGACGAGCTAACACTTGGTTGCATTGGAACACTTATTTCACTAGGTCTCTCAACTTTATTATCAATTTTTCTGCCACTCCTCAAGGTGGAAATGGAGTATGCCTTTCGGTTAATCTCAGGTTGAATAGGCCCTTTCTCTTTTATTGATTTAGCCATTTGCCCAATTTGGGCTTCAAGTTTTGCAATTGATTGAGAATGTGAATGAAACACTTGATTTTCCTTTTGAAGATCACCCAAAGCTTCTAAAACCTTATCCTCAAAAGTGGGATTCCTAGGAGGCTCTTGAGGTGGATGAGAATAAGATTGATGATTTGAAGAATGAGAATTAGAGAATTGATTCACATTTGGAAGAGGATAAGATGGAGAGTAGTATGCTTGAGAATTTGCATTTCGGAGGTGGGGAGGCACATACTTTTCTTGGGAATTTTTATGAATAGGAGGAATGATACCTCTTCCTTGATTTCTCCAAGAAAAGTTAGGATCACTCCATCCAGAATTGTAGGAGTTAGAATTTGGATTACTTCCCGGATGAATGAAAACAGCATTGACTTGTTCTTGATACTCACTCGGAAAAACTTGTCCAAGAGGACAATTGAAAGTATTGTGAGTATAACTAGAGCAAGTCATGCACATCACATTTTGAGAATGGAAAGAGTTGGATGATTGAATTGCCGAGTTTTGGCTCAAAAGAAATTTATCAAACCTTTGAGTAAGATTTTTGACTTCGGCGGCAATTTCCATGGAACTTTCCACTTGAGAAAGACTGGAGGTTTTCTTCCCTCCTTCATTCAAGTTTTGGCCAAATCGGGACGATGAAGAACGATGCATTGAATTTTCGCTCATGCGATCAAAAAGATGCCACACATCATCTTCATTTTTGTCCAAATAGGCTCCTCCACATGAAGCATCAACCATACCTTTTTGGGTATCGGATAAGCTTTCATAGAAGCAACGAACTAATTGCCACTTAGGAATGTCGTGATGTGGACACTTCCGTAACAAATCGTTCAAACGCTCCCATGCTTCATGCAAAGGTTCTCCCTCATTTTGGGAGAATTCACGGATAGAAGCTCTCATAGCATCGGTTCTACTTGTAGGGTAAAATTTTTTTAGGAATTCATATTGTAGTTGAGCCCAAGATGTGATTGGATTTGCCCTCAAGTTATTGAACCAATATTTAGCCTTTTCCCGAAGAGTGAAAGGGAAAAGCTTCATTTTTAAGACTTCTTCCGGAAGGTCCGTGATTTTTACGGTTGAACAAACTTCCAAAAACTCATCCAAATGTTTATATGGTTCTTCATTGTTTACCCCATAGAAAATGGGGCACATTTGGATGGTTGCGGGCTTAATTTCATAATGGGTTGCCCGAAAGTTTGGCAACCGGATGCATGTTGATGCATTGTATACATTGGGAGTGTAGTGATCCCGAAGAGATAATTGATGATTGGGGGGATACACTACATGATCTTGAAGATGGATTGGCATTATTGGAGGTTGTTGCACTTGATTGGGTTGTGGCAACACATTAGGATGGGGAATTCTCAAGGGTGGATGCCCATTAAGAGGGTAATACTCACCTAGATTATCCATATTCCCTAGATATTAAAATTGGTTTTCTATTAAGTGTGAGATAATCAAGAATGGGAAGAATTCTCCTAGAACTACCTCCTAACACCGAATGGATGATTCAAGATTAGACCACAACAACTTCACAACAAACCACAACAAAAATCAACAACAATTCACCACCTCCACATACGATGTTCCCATACTCCCATGTTATATCAATGCACAAAATTAAATTGCCTCCACACGGGCCGATGCTTTCTATCAAGAAAGTAGTAGCCTCCTTTTGGGCTTATGCTTGGACAAGAATTTAAACAATGTGATAGCCTCGACAAGGGCTATCTCGCAAGCATACAGAGAATTGAACAATTATAATAAAAGAAAATCAAGGAAGCTTACAAAAGTCCCTAGCAACAATGTTACAAAGG